ACAAAACAAGCATTTTTGTAGGATCTCCTCAACAGTAACTCGTGCTATTCGATCTCTACGGACTAGAATTGAGTCCGTTTGGCTCTATCTCTCACCGTTCGAGCGATGGTGGTGGATTTTCGATAAAAAAAAAATACCCAGAAAATGACCACGCTGTACATAAAGACGTACAAGAAGGCCTCAAATCAAATCGAAAAAATTACAGGGGAAGGAAGCACCGTCCAAAACAGCACATTCTAAATCTAAAGCAGTCCTTGAAATTGCAGTATCTTTAATAGTTTCAGAGCTAGAGGCCGATATACAAACTGAAAAGTGCGGTTGTTAATTTTTTGATTCATTTTCAAAGCAGATTGGTAGAGTGTACTCACGCTGTGCTGTCGCACCGTTACAGTCTTTTCTCATGTGCAAGGAGCTAATCTTAAGGGACGCAGACCCTCCCCGAAAACCTATCTTTGTTTGAAACATGCATAGTGACTTATAGGTCGGCCCATGGGCCCGACAAAACGCCGCTGGCAGGCAAAGCACGCCTGGTCCCTGTCGAACGGACTGAGGCAGGCAACTTCGTTTGGTGGAGGGGCGGGCCTGCTTGTTCTATATAATTTAATTTTACTTCTTACTTCCGGCCTCCCGAGTGAACAACTGAAGTACCCTATTCTGACTGGGCATTATAATTTTGTGCACTCAGAATTTTCCACCGACCGCCCAGGAGCTCCCGACTCGAGAAGTTACATTTCGGGCGGCTCTTAATGCCACAACGCTTAGTCTGTGGCCTCGCGGATACCCTGGTCGCGCCGTGTCCGTACCGTCAGTTGGTGTGTCGGGCAGGAACCTAGGACAACTTAGAGTGAGGCCTCTAGTCTGGTTCAGTGACCCGATCGTTGTGTTCCGAAAGGGTACGTATAACTCGTAATAAGTTTTCGTCCGATCTCTGAAGTAAAAACATGTGCAGCTTCACTGTGAGAAAAACAACGGAAAAAAAACGGACAACGGAGGTAATGATTTTCCAAAACGTGTCCGCACCCTAAATTTCATTTCACGGTCAAACCTGCCTATTGGTCATTTTTGTGGCCATTGAATTTTTGTTTCCTACCCTTCGATCCAATCAAAGATATCAAAAGCAAACCGTCAGAATATCGTAAGTTTTAATTTATAAAAATTGATATTGTTGAACTTTTTTTACCCCCCCAAAATAATTATATTAATAAGTTCCTTTTTAAAAAAATAGATAATGGAAAGGGACCATAGAGGAAGTTGCAAACCAAGTATGGTGACAATTTTTGCTATGAGAGTAGCGGAATTTTTCTAAATTCTTCTTATATCTTTTATCTTTGATACTAAGGCATGAAATGATGTGCATACCATATGGCTGCCTAAAATATAGCAAGACTTATTGCACAGCAGAATGGCTACGTGTTTTGTGTGAATAGTTGCAGGTCCGACAATAGTGAAAAGGGACTAATTACATTTACTTCATGTGTGGTAGTATCACCAAGCTGCGATCGTTACTTCTGCTTAGCCGTATTTGAGCCGGTCTGTGCCACCTTTAGAGGACTTCTTAGAACATTCGGCAATGACTGCGAACTGCGAAGATACATCTGCGCGAGCGGAGAAGGTAAGCGTAGTCGGGAAAGGAATGGCTGACACAAAAAAACATAGCCTCATACATTTAAGGCCACTTCCTGTTGTGTGGGGGCGGCGAGTGCAACATGATCAC